AGATCAATGTTGACTGGAAAGTAAGAAGTCAGTTGAGAGTTCCACAAGAAAGAATTGGAAAAGAAACTGTTAGCATAGGATTTACGTTTAAATCTAGCAATTTCAATTGTAAAATGATGAGATCTACCTGCTAATCTAGTACTGTGCTTAAATTTGTAAAGTTGAGGTACTAAAGAGGAAAGCTCATCAGAACAGTTAGCATGAAAATATGTATCAAAAAGGTGCAGGGAAGTTATGCTACGACAAAGGAAAAGTGACCAAGGTTGACATGCCAGGTCAAGACCAATAACATTGCAGATTCTTCTTTGGATTTAGTAAAGAATCTTCTAGATAGATAGCAGAATCACCAGACCAGATATGGTAGCAATATTCAGTGTTGAGGGTATTTTAAAGTAAGTTAACCATCTACCCTTTATATTATTGAAAATTGTTTTGACATTTAATCAGAAAGAGAAAATTTAGAGGGTACAACAAAAAGCAAGACGTTTTAATTTATTTAAAAGACAATAACAAATTATATCATTTATAAACTTGAATGAAATGTCAACTCCTTCCCAATCTCTGAAATCAAAAACGTATTCATTTTTCTTCCAGCCTTCCCTTCATAAATAACCCCACCCTTTTTTTTTTTTTCTAATGAAGTGAGTGGAGATCTGCTATTTGGTTTTCTTCTTTTTCACTTTCTACCATTTCTTTTTTTCTTCTTTTTCACTTTCTACCATTTCTTTTTTTCTTCTTTTTTCACTTTCTACCATTTCTTTTTTTCTTCTTTTTTCACTTTCTACCATTTCTTTTTTCTTCTTTTTCACTTTCTACCATTTCTTTTTTTTCTTCTTTTTCACTTTCTACCATTTCTTTTTTTCACTTTCTACCATTTCTTTTTTTCACTTTCTACCATTTCTTTTTTTCTTCTTTTTCACTTTCTACCATTTCTTCTTTTTCACTTTCTACCATTTCTTTTTTTCACTTTCTACCATTTCTTTTTTTCACTTTCTACCATTTCTTTTTTTCTTCTTTTTCACTTTCTACCATTTCTTTTTTTTTTCATTCAAGGGTTTCATGTCATCCTTTATTATATCCTCAAGAGCTCTTTAGCATCAACTGAAGACTTAATTTTCTTTTTCCTTATTTCCCATCTCTTTTTCATTACTGTCTTCAGTAGCAGATTCAGACATTGACTCTCCATCTGTTTTTTCAGTATTGTTTACTTCTTCTCCATCACATTCATCTTTGCTTTTTTTTTTTTTTTTTTTTTTTGACAACTTTTGCTTTTGTATTTTCAACTTCTGCCTCTTCAACTTCAGCCTCAGCTGTCAGGTCGGATCTAGTCACTGGCATTTTGTGGGTTTCAAGTGATTCTTCTCCAAAGAAAAATCTTAAACTAGTGCTGCTTCACTCTATAGACATTTGTGCAGATGACCAGAATCAAATCAAATGGAAGAATCCGAAGTTAATTCACGCAGACAAACTTTTACAAGCATGTTTGAACTTACGCCCTTCTTTGGCAAAGATATTCAAATTTTAATTTATAAATTGCATATATTTTATATATATATATATATATGTGTGTGTGCGTGTGTGTTGACAAAGGGTTTTCTAAGGTTATCTTTTCTGTCTATTTCTATTTTTTCAATTATAGTGAATTTTGCATGGCTTTTAAAATCATGTTTTTCTAGGCAGAAATGTTGTTCTATAGGTAATAATCTTTCTTTGGAGATGTTCTAGATATACTATCAATATAAAATGTAAGATTATATAATGTCAAGATATATATTTTAATAATGTTTATATATAGACATTTATTTTGATTTAGTTGGAAGATCACATTGAGGCATGAAATTGACAGTCACAATGCAGTGTTGTTTTATATGTCGATATTTTCTATATCTGTAGACATTTATATAGAGATTTTCATATTGTACATTTTATATAAATATATATATTTCATATTTAGATATATTAACATATGATATAAATATTTTGATATAAAGAATGATATCAATCAAATGATACAATGATAAAGACTAAAGACAATATCATATATTTTCTGTTGAATAAACCTGGATTAAATCAGATCAAAAGGAAAATATATAAAATTGTATGAATTTAAGCACAGTACTAGACTGGTGTCAAGATCTCATCAATTTACAGTTGCTGGCTAGATATACCTGTAACTTCTATGCCAACAGTTTCTTTTCTTGCACTTCTCATTTGTGGAACTCCCTTCCAGCTCCATGATTTTGGGTCAACTTTAATCTGCAAACATTTAAATGCAATGTCAATTGCTATCTACTTTCCTGCTGATTGTTTTTTTTATTCTACTAACATTTCTGTTCTTAATTATTCCACACCCTGTAATCTCTTGTGTTTTAATGGTCGTATTGTCTTGCTTGGGGTGATACAGATTAAAAAAAAACAACAACAATTTTGCAAAAAAACTTAAACATCTAGCTTTCAGGCAATTCAAATGGTAGATTCCATGATGAATTCATTATATATATATATATATATGGGATATATTTTTGCAAGAATGTTTAAATTTACGTCTTCTCAGAAGCCACAGGTCTAAAATGGTTGCTTTTGTTTGAAGGAACAGACAGCAAATTTTCAGATGCCAGTAATTCTTTAAAGAAAACAGACTTTGAATAAGCTTCTGCTTATTCATTTATATGTCATCACCTTTCAGAATATGAGCAATTATGGCTCTCCACAACTTTCTCTCTCTTGTTGCTCACAATAACTTTTGATGCTTCACATATCTAAACTTTCCTTTTCCTGACATCCCCATTCACTCAAATTTATTAAGTAGTTTTTTTTAATCACTTAACCTTAAGCAAGGCAATATAGCCTCTAAGACACAAGGGGGTTACTGAATGTGAAAGAATATGAGAAAAAGAAAAATATTATTAGGGTGAAAGTAAAATAAAATGAAAGCAATTAAGTAAACAAAAGATAACAATTGACATTGCTTTTAAATTTTTGAAGATCAAAGTTGACTGGAAAGTAAGTGGCTGGAAGAGATTTCCCCAAGCAAGGGCTGTGAAAGAAGAAACTGTTATCATAATGTTGTATTCCCACTTCATTCTCAGGAGGTCTTTTGGTTGATGGGGTTGATAGCATAATGTTCTCTTGCTCATATTCATCCAGTTGCTGATTGTTGGTTGTTTTTTTAGTTCTGCAATAAATGGGAACTTCAACAAAAGAGATTTTAAACTTATCTATTTTTAAAAATTAAACGTCTTTTTTGCAATTCAAAAGGTCAATTCCAAAGTAGATTTACACTGACATACTTTTGCAAGGACGTTTAAATTTAAATCTTCTCAGAAGCCACAGCTGTAAAATGGTTTCTTTTGTGTGAATGAACAAACAGCAAACTGTATTTTCCTCCTCAAAGAACTGAGCATCAAGTTTTACTTTGTCAGCTCTGGCAGATAAACTTATAGATAAACTGGATTTGTTGAACATGGATTCAAATTGGAATCAGATGCTTGATGTTTGTCTTAAATTTTCAGACGCCAGTAATTCCTTGAGAAAGAAGAAAACTTTGAATATAAGTTTCCTGCTTTCAGGGTTTGAGTGATCATGGCTCTCCATAACACAAGAATGCCATGGACCGAACATGTGAGGAACAATAAAGTTTTAGAGAAAATGGAAACAAAAAGAACACATGATTAACATCAGAAAGAAGCAGTTGAAATTTCTAGGGAACATAATATAGAAAGAAGACTTGGAAAATATGATACTCACAGGGTAAATTGAAGGCAAGAGGGACAGAGGAAAATAATGTATAACATACCTGGTGAGCTTGAGTGAATGTATGGCAGACAGGGTTTGGGAGAGATAGCCAAAAGACAAAATTTATTAAGAGCTACAAAGGACAGGAATGTTATCTTCATCTTCATATTCACGTTTCCGCCAATGTACGCTCCGGCCTTCTTCGGGTGATTGGAATTTCAAACCAAACCTTTATTTCGCCAACCAGGTTATATTGTTCTAGTTCTACATGCCATGCCTCTTCCTGATGTCTCAGTTATTTCCCTTTAACTCAACACTCCAAGTTTTTGGGTCACCATTGCTGTGCCCTGGCATTGAACTCACAACTCTTTGGGTCTAGTCACTGGATCTAACCAACATCTTTATCCACTGGGCCATGTGTCAATCTATCCCAATGCATGAAATAAAGGTTTCAGTTCAAAATTCCAATCACCTGAAGAAGGCCGGAGCGTGCAACAGCCAAAATGTTGTGAATATGCCAATGAAGATGACTGTTCGAATAATGTAAATAATGCAAGTAATCATAATACCTCATCTCAGAGGTATAGACAAAGAACAGGAAGTTGCGGAGAGCCATGATTGCCAACTTCCTGATAAGACATGGCATATAGAAGAAGAAGGTTTATTAAGCCTGGAATCAGCCCCATCTATGCACTACATACATTGTTTAACAAGCACCAATGCTTTCTGTGTGACATGACCCTAAACTGAAAATGTGAGTCTCACTTTTATACAAGAGATTTAATTCTGTTTAAAATGATACATCATTTGCATTTTCTATATTTTGACATTTTTTTTTTTTTTTTTTACTTATGAACAATTGCAGTAATCTTCAGATGTCAGATTGCAGCTGGAATTTCATATTAGAAATCTCTTAACATATCCAGTCTTTTAATACTTTTTTTTTTGTTATTGTTTTTATACGGAATGTCTAAATCTCGGCTTGTCACTTTAAGGCAAAATTCAGAATCATATTTTATTGAACACCTGAAAAGTAAATCCTTTCCAAAAACTCAATATGAAATTTCAGAACCAAAACAAAAAGGGGTCATCTCTTTTTCTCCAGCATAATTGATGATCGAAAACATCTCGGCATTTTTTCTTTTTTAACCTAGACTTCAAAACTGACTGATTTCATAATTCAGCAAACGAAAACCAGCAAGAATTAAACCTAAAAAGAACAAAAGACATATTACTTAATGTTATGAACTTTATACAGGGAAAATCTAATGAGAATTCAAGAACCTTTTATTCTTTTTATATTTAAAACAGAAAGGTAGACAGAAAATGTGGTAGCTACCTATGAAGAAAGATAGACAGAAATAGATATAAGCAGAGAGATGAACAGATATGAAAGACATGGAGAGAGTGGTAAAGAGTTTGACTGATACAGAAATTAAGAGATGGAGAGAGAGAGATAAGATCAGAAAGAGTGACTGTATGAAGAAAAATAGACAGAAATAGATATAAGCAGAGAGATGAACAGATTTAATGAAAGACATGGAGAGAGTGGTAAAGAGTTTGACTGATACAGAAATTAAGAGATGGAGAGAGAGAGATAAGATCAGAAAGAGTGACTGTATGAAGAAAAATAGACAGAAATAGATATAAGCAGAGAGATGAACAGATATGAAAGACATGGAGAGAGTGGTAAAGAGTTTGACTGATAAAGAAATTAAGAGATGGAGAGAGAGAGATAAGATCAGAAAGAGTGACTGTATGAAGAAAAATAGACAGAAATAGATATAAGCAGAGAGATGAACAGATATGAAAGACATGGAGAGAGTGGTAAAGAGTTTGACTGATACAGAAATTAAGAAATGGAGAGAGAGAGATAAGATCAGAAAGAGTGACTGTATGAAGAAAAATAGACAGAAATAGATATAAGCAGAGAGATGAACAGATTTAATGAAAGACATGGAGAGAGTGGTAAAGAGTTTGACTGATACAGAAATTAAGAGATGGAGATAAGATCAGAAAGCGTGACTGTCTGGCAGAATGAAGATAGATTAAATGATTGAGAGAAAGAGAGATAAACAGACTGAGAGACAAATAAATAGATAGGATTAGACTTAATGATAGACAGAAATAGAGATTGATAGAAAGAAAGACAAGAACAGGAATAGAGTGAGATAGAAGAAAATATACATAGGAATACAGAAAAGAATAGAGTGATAGAGACGAGAATAGAGGATGATAAAGAGAAAGCAATAAATAAGCAGACTTAGTAGAGAAAGAGATAGAAAACCATAAAAACTCCAACAGAATGTAATGAAGGAAAGGGAGAAGAAAGGACTAAACATCAATTGCAAGAAGTCAGAATGCATGCTTGTTAGCAAAAGGATGAACCCAGAATGGAAATTATAAATTGGAGATACCAAAATCAAACAGATACAAAAATTTAAATATCTGGGAAGTGTTTTAACATAGGGCGGAAAGTGCTGCACAGAAATTCAAAGGCACATTGGTATAGCCAAAGATACATTCAAAAAGCTAAGCAGAGTATTAAGAAACAGGAAAAAAAAAAAAACAAAAAAAAAAGCCAGAAACAAAGAAAAGACTACTGAACTGTTACGTGATATCTGTCCTGTATGGCAGTAAATGCTAGACAACCTCTTCAAAGATGAAGAAAAAACTTGAAGTAACAGAAATGTGGTTCTACAGAAGGATGCTGAGGATACTAGGGACTGAATATGTGAACACTGATGAAGTTTTAGAGAAAATTGAAACATACTTAACAACAGGAAGAGACAATTGAAATTTCTAGGGCACATAATGAGGAAAGAGAGCTCAGAAAATTCGATACTCACAAGACAGATTGAAGGCAAAAGGAACAGAGGAACACAACACATAACATAATGAGCTTGAGTAATTGTTGATGGAATAAGGTTTAGGAGGAATAACAAAAAGGCAAAATTTATTAAGAGCTACAAAGGATTGGAAATTGTGGAGAGCCATAATGGGACATGGCACATAAAAATGAAGAGAGAAAGAGTGAAAAAGTGAGAGAAATAGGAATAGTGAGAGAGAAGGAGAAAGAAACAGGAATAGTGAGAGTGAGAAACAGGAATAGTGAGAGAGAGAATGAGAAAAAGGCATGGTGAGAGAAAAGGGAAACAGGAATAGAGAGTGATTGAGAGAGAAAAACAGGAATAGAGAATGAGAGAGAGTGAGGGAGAAACAGGAATAGAGAGTGATTGAGAGAGAAAAACAGGAATAGAGAGAGATACAGAGAGGAATAGAGAGTGATAAACAAGAATAGGGAGTGATAGAGAGACAAAAATAAAGGGAGATAATTATAAACTTAGAAAGTGATAGAGAAAAATATAGAAATAGAAGTTGTTAGAGATAGACAGGATTAGAATTGCAGAGTGATAGATATTAACATACTGAAAAGGAAATGAACATGGGGAGATAAGTATAAAATTGAAATAGAATCCGTGAGAGATAAAGACAGGCTAAAATAGATAAATAGAAATAAAGTGAGAAATATAGACAATGAGAAAAAGAGATAGGATGAGAGAGAGATAGGACAGTGGTTCCCAAACGGTGCACCTCATAGGTGTGGCAGAATCGGATAGCAGGTGAGGCAGAATGATTGAAAGACAATCAAAGATTTAGAAACAGTTTCAAAAAATTCACATGCCAAAAATCAATATAATTTCAAAATTTAACATATTATTATGGATTAATTGTAATTGCATGCATGAGTCCCAGTATAAATAGTTATAAATAATCATTGACTGATTTTATCATTGGGATATTTTTGCATTATATCAAGTGTCAAGAATATAGTAACTAGGGTCCGCAAATTGGAGGAGAGAGTTATCAATGATAATGTTCTGATTTCGGATACGCGTTTATCTCCGTTTAACACTCTCTTTCTTAATCACATAAAATTTGGTGAGGTGTGATGAAATTTTAATTCTGAAAATGTAGCCCAGACAAAATGTTTGGGGAACGTTCTGATATAGGGATAGACAACAATAGAAAAAGAAATAAACACCCAGAAAAAAGAGAGAGAGATGAAAAAACCATGTGAGAAAGAGAATTAAACATATTAATTGATTGAGCTAGAGATATGCAAGTAAGCTGAGAAAAAGAAATAATGGACAGACTAAAACAATAAATGATCATGGCTCTCTACAGCTTCCTTTCCTTTATTATCTGTGAATGGTTATGACTTCTTATGAAAGAAAACTAAATGTTTTGTGGCTTCCTTCTCTACTGTTTTGAATTCAAAGTAATCCTTCTCCTAGACTGGCTATCAGCCAAGGTTAGAGAGCCCAATCTACTTTGTTATTTAACATATAGCTGGCAAGGAGAATAAATAAATTGTTTGCGCATGCCTACTTACGTTTTTGACATTTTGACAATATTTTTTATTTTAATTTCATATACACCCCTCGTTTCTACTTAGCTGTCAGATCATTGAGTTCTTACATCTACTGGTACCATGTAATCCAATATTAGCTGGACAGAAGGTGGGCATTGCTAAGTAGCTACTTGCTCTGGAGATTCCTAGAAGGACCCAGCATGGTTACCATGATATTATGGATCGCAAAATGGACCCACCAAGATTGCAAGTTATGTGGTTTGGTCTGAACATACTCTCTCTAAATATAATATTATCTATTTTCTGTTGAGTAGACCTGGATTAAATCAGACCAAATGGGAAATATATAAAACAATTTTGAAAAAAATTAAACGCCTAGCTTTTTTTGCAATTCAAAAGGTTAATTCCAAAGTGAATTCACACAGACGTATTTTTGCAAGGACATTTAAATTTAAATCTTCTCAGAAGCCACAGCTGTAAAATGGTTTCTTTTGTGTGAATGAACAAATAGCAAACTGTATTTTCCTCCTCAAAGAACTAAGCATCAAGCTTTACTTCTTTGTCAGCTCTGGCAGATAAACTTATAGATAAACTGGATTTGTTGAACATGGATTCAAATTGGAATCAGATGCTTGATGTTTGTCTTTAATTTTCAGATGCCAGTAATTCCTTGAGAAAGAAGAAAACTTTGAATATAAGCTTCTGCTTCTTTTTTGTGCCATCACCTTTCAGAATATGAGCAATTATTGCTCTCCACAACTTTCTCTCTCTTGTTGCTCACAATAAATTTTGATGCTTCACCTATCTACACTTTCCTTCTCCTGACATCCCCATTCACTCAAATTTATTAAGTAGTTTTTTTTTTAATCATTTCATCCCAAGCAAGGCAATATAGCCTCTAAGACACAAGAATGTGAAAGAATATGAGAAAAAGAAAAACATTATTTGGATGAAAGTAAAATAAAATGAAAGCAATTAAGGAAACAAAAGATAACAATTGACATTGCATTTAAATTTTTGAAGATCAAAGTTGACTAGAAAATAAATGGCTGGAAGAGATTTCCACAAGCAAGAAGTGTGAGAGAAGAAACTGTTAGCATAGTGTTGTATACCTCTTCATTCTGGAGAGGTCTTTTGGTTAACAGGGTCAATTCCATAACATTGTATCTTCTGTCGCTCATCTTCTCTTGGTCACTCATTTCTGGTTGTTTTTCTTTTTAGTTTGGCAATAAATGAGAATTTCAACAAAAGGGATTTTAAACTTAACTATTTTATTAAACACATCAATGTGTACATTTTTAACTAGCCTAGCCAATGGGGTCACTCTATCACCTCCACTGGGGAGCAAGTTCCCCAAGTCACAAAATAATCAAGTCTGCTGTGTATGATGTGTAAAAATTTAACTCCCTGAAATCCCTTTCTATCTCTCTATCATTCCCACATTAGTTTTAACCAATCAAAAATGACTTCCTTTGTTTTCCTTTATCTGACCACAAAGGTCAAAATGAGGAATTCAAAAGAAAATACAATTCTCTAAAAAAACATAATAGTTTGCTAGACTATTATTTAACAATAGAACTTATAGTTATGTCTAGCAACTTCAACTGTCAAATAATGAGACTTAGCCGTCAGTCTAGTACTGTGCTTAAATTCACAAAGACGAGGTATGAAAGAGGAAAGCACCTCAGAACAATTACCATGAAAATATTTACAGAAAAGGTATGGGGAAACGGCATTATGTTTTGTGGGAAAGTGACTGAAACTTATATGTCAAGACAAGATAATATGCCCACTGGCATTCTTTCTTTATTGTTTGTCTCAGAAAGTAGAGTAATCTGTTTTTGATAAATATTAGTTTCCTTGTTTTTCTCATTGTCTTTAAAACTTCATATTGTTCACATGTCCTCTCTATAGTATTGTCAATATTTGTCATTTCTGTCATTTCAAGTCTATTCTTCATATTACTTTAAACATAATTTTGGGGGATACACATGTTTGTGTAGACTCCTTATTTTTTAAACACTGTGAATTATATCTACCGGCCTGAACATTTGAATGAGTTTAATAAAGAGAATATGCTCTTTGGCAGGGTACAAACCTGTGTCCTCTTTTATGGTAGAAATCGCAATCTGATCTGATGTGCTTTAGATCCCTCAGCTACAAAGAGTGTCACAACCTAACAAGGTTCAATTATTCTTCAAAAAGAATTCAAATCTACTTGCACAGATCTTCTCAAAGCCAACATCTGCTTACTTTTTATTTTTGTACCTGAAACATAGACAAAATTTTTGAATGGATTTAATTTCTTATTACTTTGTTATTTTATTTTAGTTGATGCCCACATTGGAGTTGAGGCCCTGTTTTTTGTTTTAAAGGTGGGAGTTACATCTACCAGCCTATGCATTTGAGAGACTTTTTTGGATTTTTTATCCAGTTTGATCTGAACTGAACTTCTCTATAGATGTAGAGTAAAAGTATGAAATTCTGCTACAAGTCAAGGATCAAATGAGCCTATGCCAACATATCAATCAATTAGACATTTTGGACTGAGTTCAGAAGATTAAAGTTATCATTGCTTTTTCATGAAATTCATCACAGTCTCTTGCCAAATTAATCATCTAAATTCAATCAATAATTCCAATTTCACTATTATACATGCTAGAAAATTAAAAGACAGAAAATAAATTGTCATCACATATGATTATCTTATTGAATGTTACAAATACAGAGTCATTTAGAAAATCATTGACAAATAGAAATGTTATTTAAACGTTTAATTCTCCAAATTTATATGATTTATTTTTAGATCTAGTCATTCACATCTCTAAAATACAGTGCAATAAATCTTTGCAGATGTTTCCTTTATTACAGTTTCAGCATTTTCTTATTTGTAAAAACTTTGTGTTTGAAGAAAGATAAAATATTTTCTGGATCAGTAAGCATTTTTTTTTTTTTTTTGTTAATCACAATAAATTATTTTGCAGCAAAAATAAGGCTATTTTCACTAGAGAATTAAGGACACATTTTTGCTGGATGAGGAAGGCCATTCTTTTTGGTTCAATGAGTAAAATAAATTTTTAACTTGAGGGGTGAGGTTACTTTTTGACTCAAGAAGCAAGGTCATTTTTTGCCTCAAGTAAGTTAATTTTTTGCCTGGAGAAGTAAGGTCAATGTTTGGCAGGCGGTGTAAGGCCATTTCTGGACTGGAGGCATAAGATCATTTTTGGACTGGAGGTGTAAGGCCATTTTTGAACTGGAGGCATAAGATCATTTTTGGACTGGAGGCATAAGATCATTTTTGGACTGGAGGTGTAAGGCCATTTTTGGACTGGAGGTGTGAAGCCATTTTTGAACTGGAGGTGGAAGGTCATTTTTGACTATATGAGTAATCATTTTTTCATTGGATGAGTAAGGGCATTTTTTGAATGAAGATGTAAGATAATTTTTTGTTGGAGGAATATGAACACTTTTGGTTAGAATCATTTTTACTGGAGTCGTTGGCTCATTTTCAGTATAAACAATCTTTTATTCAGATAAGCATATCAATCAGTCAGTTATGTGCCATGCATGATACACACTTAGGTGATCATGTATCTTTTGATACATGACTGACAAGGCAGATTTTTTCCTGCAGTAGATTGCAATTTCTTTCTACAGTAGACCATTTGCTGCCCAAGGCTATAGAACTCGGTCTACCCTGCTATTTAACCATAGCTGGAGGAAGAAGCATAGGATTCATACCTTTCACAAGGGTATTAGTACATAAGTGAATGTAATGGATTCAACTGGAATTCGAACTCGGCTCTCCGATTCCGCAATCCGAGCCACTATCCATTACTCTACCATGCCTATCAATATATTATTTAATTTAGATAAACATATCAATATATTATTTAATTTAGATAAACATATCAATATATTATTTAAATTTATTTCACTGTATCAACTAAACATTCAATTGGTGACTAGGCTCTTTATATAAACATTTCAAGTCAATTGGTGACTAGAAAGTTAACCTACCTCATGTGGACATTAAATTTAAATTTCTCACACTCCCTCATTGCTGATCTGTTACAACAGGGGATTTTTGAAGTATGATAAATAAAGAGTTAATTCTTCTATAAAACCCAAACTAAAAATAACCCAGAGAGTAAATCAATTTAAGAGCCTGTGTCTCTCATCATAAAGCAATAATCTACATTGGACAACAGCAACCACACTCTAATAAAGGATGACAAACTCTTAAGTAATACAGAATATTAACACTCAAAAGCAAATGCACCCATTACAAAAATTCTGGTTGATAACACCATTATTTTAAAGAAACCCAGCTATCAAGGTGACTAAAAATTATTGAGGCTCTTTATATAAAACATTTCAAGCCAAGCATAAACCTTACTATCTGTCTATATTTCTGAGATGAGGTATTATGTACATTATTTACATTATTCAGACTATTGTCCTCATCTTTGTCGCCATATTTATTACAACATTTCAGACGTTGTATGCTCCGGCCTTCTTCCGATGGTTGGAATGTTGAACATCATTAACGGCACGTGGAACTAGAACAGTCTACCCCAGTGAGCGAAATAAAGATTTCAGTTCGACATTCCAACCATCTGAAGAAGGCCAGAGCGTACAATGGCCTAAACATTGTAATAAATATGGCGACAAAGATGAGGACAATAGTCCAAATAATGTAAGTAATATAAACCTTATACTTTATTTAACAATAGTTCAAAGTCATGTTGTATCCTCTCACACAACCTAAGATTACTGCTATACAATACATCTGACAACATAAACATGGAAAAACAATAAGAACATATGCCTTAAATTGAATTGGCCAAAAACACTTGGCACAATAGCTATTATGCACAAATGCTACACTCCCTTAATTTAATAAGAAAATGGAAAAACTTAAAAACTTTTCCTTGTCTTTATTATTTACATTATTCGGGCTATTGTCCTCATCTTTGTCGCCATATTTATTACATTTCGGCCGTTCTATGCTCAAGCCTTCTTCAGGTGGTTGAAATGTCAAACTTAACCCTTTATTTCGCTCACTGGGGTAGACTGTTCTAGTTCCATGTGCCATGTTTAATGGATGTCAGTTATAAGTTATCTCCTGTTAATTTTCCCTCTGAAAGTTCTCCACTGCCTTAACCATGGTATTGAACTCACACTCTTTGAGTCCTGTCACTGGGTCTAACCAATGCCTTTATTCACTGTGACAATAGTCCAAATAATGTAAATAATGTACATAATACCACATATCAGAAATATAGATTTTTCCTTGTCTCCCACATTCAAGAAAACATACATCTATCTATCTATCTATCTATATATATATATATATATATATAGAGAGAGAGATGAATTAAATAATAAAAATATATATATATATATATATATATATATATATATATATATAATTATTGTAATGGTACCTTAAAGTGGTCTGTTTTTCATTAAATATTAGCTCTGTTCTTCACATTGAGCTCTCAGTATTTACCAATTCGGTTTACCAAGTTCTTCATAACTTATATTGTGGACTCTCCCGTCAATGATAGACACGGGCTATTAAACTGTGTACACCGAGGACCCTT